CAAAATAAATATATATATTAATTTCTTCCTCTTATTTGTTTTTTTTTTTGTTTTCTTTTCGAAGATAAACGGTTCACCAGAAAGGAACACATGCACAGAAAAAAAAAACATATCCCTGAGCTATCAGTCGAATGGGAAATGTAATAGAAAAATAGTAAGAGAAGTTGAAGTTGAACAAGTAGAAGAAGAAGTTTAAGAAGAAAAGAAAAAAAAAAAAGAAATGAACAAACCAGGTTAGCCAAGCAATAAACACACACGCACATAACAAGAGTTGTCCAAGTTTAATAATATAGAAATATAAGTTAAAGAAATAGAACAACCAAAAAAAAAAAGAAAAGAAAGAAATTTTTTCTTTTAATTTTATACATCAAGAAAAGCCGAGCAAGTTTTGGACGGCACGTGAGGCTTCATCATCTTGAGGTTGATTATTATCTTGATGATGATTGTCAATATCAAGATCATCAAAGAAAAAATTTGCTGAATCTGATATATCGACAGGATTTTCATGTTGTTCAATAACACCACAATCAACAATAGAATTTATTGCTAATTGTGTTTCATCTGTTGATCGTATGGTTTCATCTGGTAATGGATCACTATTAAATAAATCATTATAATCAGCTTCAGACATAGCTGCTCCAAGATTATAATTTGTGGTGTTAGATAGAAAATCATATGTTGAAGGAGGTGGAGGAGATGAGATTTCATCAATAATTGGCATAGCAGTTGGTCTATCTATAGAAAATAAAAACGATGTTTTGTTTATTGTTGTAGAATTATTTTTTTTATATTTACTTTCAACATCGATAGCACGTCTTTTTCTTGTTTCATAATCTGTTTTTTCAATTTCTAACTGTTCACGAAGATCATCAAGTCGCATTTTTTCTAATAAATATTTATCATACGATTCATTATTTGACTAAAAAAAATTTTAAAAAAAATAAATTTCTTAATTTTTATTAAACAAAATATTTTTACTTGATCATTTGATATAGCAAAACGTGATATAGATTCATTAATACGTTCACTTGCTGTCAATAAACGTTTTGCTTCAATTTCAAATGATTCATCAACTAAAAAGAAATTATTTTAGATATGATTAAAGAAAGATGTTATTTTACATTGTCGACATTCATCATCTGTCGGTTCATAAATTGGTGGTGCTGGTTTAGTAAATACATGATAACGTGTTAAACGTTTTATAGCATCACCACGTGTTAAAAAACGAGATTTAAAGTCTGGTTTTAATACATGTGCTTGATCTTTACGTAATTGCTGACCGATTCTATGAATTGATATCAAAAGATTAATATATATATAAACAAAGAATATTAAACATACAAATCGGCACTGGATATACGTAAAGAACGTGTAATATTTCCATTTGTAGTATTTAATGTTGATACTGTTGTGGAACCAGGTGGAGCACCCAATAATATTTTTGTTCGAGGATTCTATAAGAAAAATTTTAATATTTATAATTGATTATTTTGTTACACTAAGTATGCATAAACGATCTATTGCCTATTGTAAGATTGTATGCGCATAGTGGTAATTAACGTATGGTTCGGAATGCTTACAAATGGTTAATATAAATAAATCGAATCATATGGTATGTGTTTATATACTATTTTCTTTTTCTATGAAATAGATTTATTAAACTTATCAATGTTGATTCTTGAGTATTATTAAGACAACTCAACTACGCAAAAATAGTTGACAAACTCAAAAGGTTTTCAAATAAAATTTAAGACTATTCTTATTGGATCGACATATTCTGCTCTTGATAATTTCAACTATTTACGCAGTATTGATTCTATCTTCTCAGTTATATGCTTAGAACAACAAAACCTTCTGTATATATGAATAAATCTCTATTTCAAAGTGAAAGAATAATGTTTATAATAAGCCTATTCTCTTGACTATGATCTACGTGTCTATTAACTATTTCCTTAATTTTCTAATATAAAACTAACCACAGTTAATGTTGATGTTGTATTAAGTCCACTAGCTGCATTTTTTGCTAAATATTTCGGTACTAGTTCTCTTTGTCCTCTTGCAAATTGTTGTTGTTTATCAATTGGTAATGCTGCTATTTGCATATCTAATTTTTGTATTTGAAGTTTTTGTTCAAATGATAATTCCAATGGTAAAATACCTTGAGCCTATAAATTAAAATAAATGATAAAAAATATAAAAATTCCCAAAATTTAATTTTACTTGTAAATCAGGTAAATTAACATGACGTAATTTTTTTAAAACAGCATTTAGCAATTCATCTTGTTTAGCTAGTGGTAATTGTATAAGTGTTGTACCATTAGATTTTTGTTGTGCTGATGTTGGTATTACTGTTGTTGTCGGTATTGTTGTTGCTGTTGTCGCCTGTGGTAGTGTTGCTGATATTACTGATGATGCTTCACGTTTTATAGATGGATTTGATGATAATGTATTAAGAGTTGTAGATTGATCAAGTAAACGTTGCCGATGTTGACCACTTATTCGAGATTGTTCAACTGATTGTGATAAAGTTTCACGATAACGTATTATACGTGTACAAAATTCACGATCTTTTTCAGTTGATGAATGAATTTGAGATAAATATGTATCAATTAA